TTTTATGTAAGAATCTGGTTTTTGTTTCGTTGATTAGTTTAGAGTGTTGGGCTTCCATTACTTCTTCTATATTAGTGTTTTCAAGATTATACTTCACCTTAGGAAGTTTTCAATGTTTGAGAAGTGACTACTTTCTTCTGCTTGGACTTTGAGAATTGCCTCTCTTCTTGGGTAAATTCTTTCAGTGGCTTCGAATTGTTGCTTTAGCTTTAGTAGCATTAGTTCTGATTTGAATTCGGCAGCAATTAGTCCTCTTCTCATCTCATTTATCGGGAGGTATAATCTTTCTTTACACGCTGGCTGTAGGTGTATTCTATGTGTAATTAAAATCTGTCTTATGTCGTGATCTAACTTAGTAAATTTTTCGGGTTATATATCTAATAATCTTATATAGTAGTTCAGTAATGAAGTAGCGTATTCATTTATTCCTCTCGTTAAATTTCTTCCGTGTAAATTATTACTACATAGTTTATTAACCCCGGCCTTTATCTTGCTCGTTATTAATTCCCAATTTGTTCTTGTGGGTCTACTTGATTTATCTTCTATTATTCCTAAATATTTATAACAATCATTATTTGTCAAGAGAACTGAATCACTGACTAGAATTAGAGAATTAGTAGCAGATTTATCGGTATTTATTTCGAGGCCTACTATACTAAAAAATCTTTTAGTTTCATTCGTTATTATTTGTAAAGTTGATTCTCTTTCCGCCATAATTTTCAAATCATCTATAAACAGTAAATGATTTGTACAATAGCTTCTCTTCTCATTAATTGGAATTTGGACTTTTGGAAACATGCTATTGAGTAATTTACTAAGAGGGTCCATTATTATTATAAACAATAATGGAGATAAACTGTCTCCCTGTAGTATTCCTTTTTTAATATTTTTAGATATCACCATTTCATTATTGTATAGTATATTGTGTCTCCATTTAGTCATGATTCCTTTTATAAACTGCTCAACCCATTTGGGGAATTTTAAACACTCAATACATTTTGATAAGAATCTATGATTTATAGAGTCAAAAGCTTTTTTCACGTCAATCCATGCAGTTTTTAGATTATTGTCATATTTCTTATTCAAGGCTATATTAATCATCGCTTGTTCCTTTGCTCCTTGGACATTTCTAATTGTACCTAATTGGTTCTCTGTGATTATATCTCTTTCCTCTAGTTCTACTTGCACAGCTTTGGTTACACACTTGGTCATTAATTTGTATAGGTTTGACATACATGTATTGGGTCTGAAATGTGCTCCCGTTGTAGCTTTTCCTTTTGGTATTAAGAATGTGTTTCCGTTGTATAGCCATTCTTCTTCGAATTGATCGCTTAGGCAAGCTGATCTTATCAATTTGTAGAGTATATTATGTAGAGATTTTAACCACTTTATAAAGAAGTTATATATACCATCTGGTCCTGTTGCTTTTCAATTTGGCAAATATGATATTATTTCATAGAATGTCGATTCACTTATGAAATCCTTTTCATCTTTTCTTCTAGATGGAATATGCTC